ATTTCATACTCTTCATACTTTTTCTGATATTCTTGCACAGTTGGTATTTTTATTTGCATGCGGACCCATATTACTTATAACAAAGCTGTAAAAAAATGGCAAATTTATATTGTAATTATAAGGACAAAAAAAAACCAAAAAAAAAGATTTAAAGTCGAAAAAAAGACCAAAATTAAAATAAATAAAATTCTGATCACGTTATTTGCAAAATTTGTGTTATTCATATCATATAACATATTATGGCTTTATTTCAAAGGAATGTTAAAAATTTAAAAATTTGAAAGTAAAAAAAAATGATCAACAATTATGATTAATATTCCCCTTTTATTGTATTCCCGTTGTGTAATATTTCCCTTATGTAGTACCTTTCTTCAAATGTAGTACCCCAGGTACTATTCAAAATTAAACTTAGATTTACTTGAATAGTATCCAGTACTAATGTCAGCATATACAGTATTAAAAGAAAAAGTTGCAATAGGCAAAAAAAATATAAGAATTTTGATTAGAATCAAATTGTTTTTACAGATAAGAGTACATTTCAATTATATATATCAAAAAAAAGGTTTGACAGTTTCCTGGTAGAAAAAAAGTGTTTCGTTCTGTTAAGCATCCACCAAAAGTTCATGTTTAAGAATTTTTTTTTGCTTCTGGATTTGGTAAGCTATTTTGCTTTTAGAGAAACCTTAATGCTGAATTTATATATACTATTTATGAGCAGGGTCTTCTAACTTCCACCTCTAAACTTTTTGGTGAAGATAACATAGATTGAATCTTGCAAGAAGATAATGATTCAAAGCATCAATTGAAAATCGTAAAAAATGGAAGGAAGTAAATGGTATTGAGGTATCTTCTTAGTCATTAATGTCTTCAGACCAAAATTCTATAGAAAATCTTTAGAGGTTAATGAAAATTAATATACAAAAAAAAAAATTTAATCAATTAGAGGGTTAAAGGAGAAACTTACAAAAGAATAGAACTGATTATTACCTGTATTTGCTGCGAATTTGGTAGCTAGCATAAAAGGTGTACAGCTGCACTTATAGAGTCAGATAGTGATTACACAATATATTAATTTTAGTTAGTTGGTTATATATTTTTTAAATAAAAAAAAATTTTGAATTTACTTACTTGTAGCCGGAGTTAGAGGCAGTCAGATACTTATGACTGCTACTGTATATACTATTATCTTATTGATCATAAATAAATTTGTTAAAAATTTTTATTTAATCTGTATTATCTGAAGGTTAAATTACATTAGATTAGATCAGAGATTAGGTTATATAAATATTAACTTGAATATTTATTTGGATTAGTTTTTATAAATAGGTTGAGTTCAAAATCTAAACTAATTTGATATTTCAAAATACTATTCTTACATAAAAATCATATTAACATATAAAGTAAAATTAATTTTTTTTCTTCTATTACACAAAAATTATTATTATATACAAAAATAAATATTTATTATATTTTTGTAAATTAGAATTAATCAAATTTAGAAATATATAAAATTCAGTCTGATTCTGAAAAATTCTTAGTCTAAAAAAAGATCTAATTCTATAGAACTTAGAATATATAATCAGATTTAGGATTATTTCTAGGATTAAAGTTATAATTATATATAAAATCAGTCTATTAAATATAATATTAAACATAATCGTTTAAAAAAATGATTCTTTTTAAATAATAAAAAATTATTAATGAAATATCATTCTAGTTACATAATGATGTATCTTTTTACTTAAATAATAACATATTTTTCTTTTAAATAATAAAGTATTATTCTAGTAAAATAATTATATTATTATTTTTTGATCAATTTATCTAGATTTTTTTATTAACTAATTCTAAAAATCGCAAGTTTTAATTAATATAGAACTGCAATCCTATAGTTCAAAGAACTCTAAACTGAATCAAATTTTATAAGATTATTTAAGATTTAGTCCTATATTTATAATGATTAAAAAGTAAAAAAAGTGTTTTAAATAGTTAGATTTAAATGATTTTCAAATACATTAATTAAAAAAAAAAAACTTTCTAATAATAAAATAATATAGATATTATTATAATTTTTTTGATTATAATTAAATCTTTTTTTTAATTTAATTCTATTACTAAAATTTATATCTTATAGATGAATTAAATAATTCTTTATTCTGCATTTTATTTGAAGTATAAAATGATTATAAATATGACTTATATTATAAAAATTAGATTAAATACATCATTTAATAAAGGTATTACCAGTTTTATAATACTGCTTGCTTTCTTGTACTTAAAAAAGAATAAATATTTAATGATTTTATTTAGTAAGTTTATTTCATTTAATAAATAAATTATTATAATTCCTTTTTTTTATTATTAAAATAATACAATTATTAATGATATAATATTTAAAGTTTAATAACATTAAAATATTTTGAACAAATTTCTATTTTTATCTTTCTTTTATCTTTTTTTACCTTTTATTTTCATCTTTTTTTACCTTTTTATTTTATTTTTCATTTAGCATTTTTTTTTACCATTTCTTTTTACCTTTTTTAATCAAATATTAAGTAATAAAAAATAGCTAAATAGATCTAATATAAAGAAGTAATACATAAAAAAAACCTTCTAAATATAACAAATGCTAAAAATTCTAAAAATGCAAAAACCTAGGACATGAAATTATTAGTGATATCAGTTTAGAATTTAATTGAAGTGCGGGAGATTTGTTATTCTTCTGAAATGAATATACAGTAAGAAATCAACAAAGTGGTAGTTATATGAGAGAACTGATTTTGTTACTTTAGATCTAAACTCATGAAGTGAATCTTTGAAGAAAGAATACAACTTGTGATACTCAATTCAGATAATTATAGAGAAACTGAAAAAAACATACAGAAGACTAACTTGCATTATCACAGTGATTGTGATGCAACATATTGGATTACATTCTATTAGATAAGAATATATGCTGTTTAAAAAAAATTTCAAGAAATTTTTAGCAGGTAAGGTACAATACATTCGCCTTTATCCCACTATAGGAGCGGCTAAAACTCAGTAAATAGATGGGAACAGTACGATTGATATATTTACAAGAAGGTATAAGAATGAATAATTTTCTTAAAGAATATGCTATGCAAATCATTAAAAATTTAAAATGAAATTTTATTCTAAGAAAGATCCAATAATCTATTATAATATACTCGTAAGAAGTACATAAAATTAAATCAGCAGAACCTTTTCCAAAAAAAACTTAAATTTTATAGTCGCAGAGTATTAAATCGTTCTAGCGAATTTTACCTTTGTATATTTAACTATTTGAAACACAGACAAAAAACTAAGGTCCTTTATTTTCAAAATAAATAAGCTTCTTTATTAATTTAATATAAAATATATCATATTAATTACGTTTAATTATAGATTACATCATAATATGTCATGAACTCATAAGAGGTCCGTTGTCTTGTCATTATAAGCTAGCTAATGACTTTGTGAAAATTATAATACGGGAGCGTTACCAGTTACGGATCTTATGATTATTAAATCTCATAATTTGATTTACCAAAATTTTGTATACAAGGAATGGTTAGACGGACAATGATGCATTAATTCCAAGATCGCTTAGAGCACGAATCACCCCAAATCCCGGGTATTTTATATAGGATCACACAACTGATTTCACCATTATAAAGTAGGGGTCTTTTACAAATTTTCGATTCAAAACCTAGGAGGGTATTTTGCATGGGGGTTGTTTAGTCGGCGCTCCAACGGTATATGTGCATGATTACATTTCATTTTTGATTCATAAGACAAGTGAGGTAACAGTTTAAGATTCTGTGATTTATATCTATAATAAAAAACTAAGCTGATTTGCTGGTCTTCAATGCAAAACAACTCTTACATAGAGAACTTGACTTGTTATTACCTAATAAACTCCTTAATATAGGGTTTATTTTTAATGATAGGTTTTAATGTAGGCATAAACATGTCTGTGAATAAGAAGCAAAAAAATTTAATTGTGAAATTTAATAGACATTATCCTAATTATAAAATTTTATGGGACTTTCTAAATGACTTTTTCTCTTGTTGTTTGTAACTATAAAATAATATAAAAAAAAGTTCGGTATTACAGTAATATACCCTGCTTTAATTTACATGAATCCTGGTGGTATTTTTCCAAATGAAATATTTCGTTGATTTATTTATTTTTTTTTTTTTTGATTAACAAAAAAGAACTTATGATCCATCTTAAAGAAAAGTAAAATCTTAAATTGCGAAAAGAGATATAAGTATGTAGTACGTATTGATAATTCAAGTCAAGTTATAATTATTCGATTAATTCTCGGGGCTTTATGTTTCTAAATTTAACTTCATCTTTATATAAATCGTAATGACTTTTAATTTCGACTAATCCTTTTTTGGGCGTAATCACGACCATCGAGATTTCTATCCACGAAAATTAAGTTTGTTGGAGCTGAATATGTGTTCTAACCCTATTTGGTTAGTATATTATTACGCTAAATATAATTTTGCCCGAAAACTCCCATAATACGCATGTCGATATTTTCAGTCAGTCTTTTGATCATTTACCAGCTGTCAAGGTGCCTAGTATGACAAAATGTCAAAGATGCCAGGCTGGCCCAATAATTATTTTTTCCCTCGCCCTTATTATATTTTGCATACATAAATCCCTTCGCGATATTTTCGCATTAACATTTTAAATTTCGTATTTGTAACTTCGTTTATTATTTTTATTATCAATTTTTTCGTAATTGTCGTTAATTGCGCGGTTTTAATTAGAGTTTATTGATTGGCATTTACTTAGTCTAATATATTGACATTGCGAAAGTGTAGAGCGCCGACGTTGAGGCAACTCTGATTAATTTGATATTTATTTTGTCACAATTACTTCAATATTACTCAATAATTATTCAATAAAACCTTCTGCTTACAAAGTTGTTTATAAATACATAAATGAAAGAACTGAATACAACAATATCAATAAATGAAGCCAAATGAATAATAAAAATTTCCCAAGGAGGATAAATGAATATCAAGAAAGCGAAAAATTGATTAATAATATTGAAAAGTTAAATGAAAGTATAAATGGGTTAAAAGAAGCTTTCGATAGTAAAAATAATGAGGACAAGGTAATTGAAGGAATTAAAAATTTAGGAAACCGGTTAGAATTTAAAATAACTTCGTTAGGACAAGAAACCGAAGCTTGCAAAACTTTAAAAACCCAATTGAAAGAAACTCAACTTCAATTAGAAACAACTCGTAATCATTTAATCAAAGAAGCAGATAATCATCGAGAAACAAAAGAGCGATTAGCTACTACGCAGTGTAATTTAGAAGAAACAAATTTTCAATTAGAAACAATTTTTAATTATTTAACCAAAGAAGCAGATAATCATCGTGAAACCAAAGAACAATTAGAAATCATTCGTAATAATTTAACTGAAGAAGCAGGTAAACATCGTGAAACAGTAAAGCAATTAGAGATTGTGTTGGCTGAATTAGAACTTGCCAATAAAGATCGGGAAGAGACTAAACGTCAATTAGAAACCATTCGTAAAAATTTTATCGAAGAGGTAGGAAGGCATCGTGAAACCAAAGAGCAATTAGCATCTACGAAGAGTAATTTAGATAATGAACATAAAGATCGGGAGGAAACTAAACGCCAATTAGAAACCATTCGTAATAATTTATCTGAAGAAGTAGTTCATCATATTGAAATCGGAGAGCAATTTGAACATTTGAATGAAATAGATCTTGCTAATAAAGATCATGAAGAAACTAAACGTCATTTAACTGAAGAAACAGGTAGACATCTTGAAACTAAAAAGCAATTAACTATTTTGCAGGCTAAATTAGATCGTGTTAATATCGTACAAGAAGTATTGAATCTATTAAAGAATGGGAAAAGTAAATACGGATCCTCGGCTACTAAAGTAATAGACGAGACGATTAAAGTATGGGATGACTCAGAAATTTCTATTTCTGAAAAAATTATTAGAGCAGAATCTTTTAAGATAGTCTTTATTTAGCTGATTGGCAAAAGATCGAACCTTTATTATTACAACTCAAAAGTATTGATGTATGTGGGACGGATTAAAGGAATTAATTTATCTACTTGTCCTAATTTAAAGTTTGTTTGAACTCCTTCGAATAATTATCTTTCGTCATAAATTGAACTTTTTCTTATACATATTTCATCTCATTTTTTCTCAATGTCAATCAAGGGTTGGAACCGTATTTCCCCGTCTATGTATAAAAATATATATTATCCCATCCAAACTTATTGTGTAAATATTAGTTTTGAATAAAATCTCTTTTTATAGCTGCATTTGATATTTTTTTTTTATTAAAAAAAAACATGACTTGAGCTTGCTCCTCGTATTTGAGTTAAATTTGCATGAAATTTAAAATTTCATGTTTCGTAGTCATTGAAACGAGAGTTTGAAATTTAAAATAGTGTGAATTTTCAATTTTTGGCAAATTTTCCAGAGTATTATTAAAATAATCTTCAAAACCTTTTTCTGTTATAATTTAATTAATTTTGCTCTTTATTCACCCTTTCGCTTGGTCGGAAATGCAAATGAATGTTAATACGCTTTACCTTAAAAAAATATATGCGCTACTGAGATAATTATAGCTTCATAGGATTATTACTATCATTATTCTCTTGGGAATCTAGCTAACAAATAAAATTTACGGGCTATAACTTAAATTTATTTATAATTTTTCCTATTTTTTTTCGAGAATTATGGGTAATGATTATGAATATAATAATTTCAAAGAATTTATCGATCCTGCTTCATCCGTTCCAAACGGATTTTGTCTGATGCATAAGTAACTTTACAAAAAACCTGTTTAGCACATAAATAATGAGTCAGTTGACATTGTGGAGGAAAAAATAAAATATATTGCATAGGTAAAATTTTGAGACCGGATCACTCAACCGTCAGATGACCCGGGTCGTGTTTTTGGACGGGTCCATTCACTAAAATGAATTATGACAAATTCGCGATGTCCGCTATACTATAGATGCTTTGCAGTAGAAAGGGAGGAAACTATAAAACAAAATGTTTGATATTTGCTTTAAAAATCTTGTTTAGCATACAAAGTAAATTAAAATTTTTTTTTAATTAGTAATTTTCTTCCTTTTTACTGCATATACGTTACATTTCTTTATTTTGGTCCAATATCAATTTTATTCAATGCTATGGGTATTTTTCGTAATGTGTAATGTAAGATTATTTTCTGAATGATAAATGTTACACGAAAATATGATGATAATGTAAATATCTATATTTTTATATTGTTATTTATTATAATTTATTAAAATAAAGGAACAAAAAAAAACCATGATAAAGGATTAAGAGGGATAACTTTACAAGAAGTTCATATAAAAGAATGCAACTAATCCCATTAAAATTCCAGAGCATTTACTAAAATCATTTATAATTCGATGTCCATTTGATTTAGAGCTTGAATTAGCGCTTGATTTACCACATTTTGCATCAAATTCATCTTGAGATTTGGTAACATTAGCAAAGGCTTTTTGTAAATTGGGAGTATTAAGAGGGTGTGATGCTTGAAATTCTTTGAATTTATCGCGAGCTTGTCGGGAACAATCATCACATGTAACACCAAAAAAAGGATCAAGATCTTGGCTTTGCCCTTGGGGTTGAGTTTGTGTTGTATTTGCTGCCTTCAAAAATTTGCTGTAACAATATTCTAAATATTTTGAAAAGAAATAAATAACTTATCGTAAAGGAATAAAAATAAAAAGACTAAACTTAATAATAATAACTTACCACCATCAATTTTAGTACAGAAATAAGTTCTCGTAGGTATAGAAGCATAGAATATAATCAAAGTCGCAAAAGCTGTTGATCCAATAGGATCAGGTGTCCCGTTGAAATTTTTATTTAATTCCGCATCACAAGTTTTATCGATTTCAGTATAAACTCTTTCAACATAATCTTCGCTACAAGCATTATTTGCGGTATCAGCACAAGTTTTGTCTAAAGCATTCTTTACGTTTACCGGATCCAATAAATCATTTGGCGTGGAAGCAGCATTTCCTTCAGTTAAGTGATATTGAAAAATTGAAGCGACCAAGCATTTGTCAGATGGTGGTTGTTTATTTATGAAGGAATTTAAATCAACAAATGGATATTTATGAAGTGTTTGTTGACAAGGCGTACATTTAGTTCCCTGTAGACTAAATTGCTGCTCGCAGGTAATCTTATCCTGAGCATAGGCGAGAAGTATTATGTTAAATAACGCGAAAGGAAGAATGTAATATTTCATCATGTATTATTAACGAATTTTGTAAATCTCAAATGGAAGCGCATTTATATATATTTTCATTATAGCAAACAACCAAACTACTTTGTCATGTATAACAAAAATAAATGTATTATATTATACAAGAAAAAATCACATTGAATACGGCAACCAATATGAAAGCGCATTGATGGTTTTAAATTCAATTACAAAGAAAACATTTGTACGATCATACCAATTCTTTTTTTGAATGTATTAATTTTGTGATCCATGACAAAAATTATACTTATTAGGAAAATTTTATATCGTGATTCAAGACAATCCGACCATATAAATAAATTTAATAATTCCTTTAATTTTGCAGCACATTATCTTTGTATAATGAATTTTATAGACCAACCACAATTAACGTGTGTGTTTTAAAAAAAAGAAAATTCGACATCAAGATGCATGATTTATTATGTTTATATTAATTATGTACAAATCACGATCGACTAAAAATGGAATTCTATTTATGTTCCTGTTTCGGTTAGTCAAAAAAAATATTTAAACTTGTGTAACGATTATAATATATACAGTGCACGAAAAATTAAAATAAATTGAAATTGTAAAGAAAAAAAAAGTTGTTTAAGCTTAATTAATAGCTTATCTTTTTACTTGTTTTGACCTTAATGGCATATTACGAAATAAATTAATAAAATTTTCAGGTTCAATTCCCTCCTACTCTTTTTGAATTATATCAAGAAGAACATCTATGTGGAGGGACCAGATATTATGTCATTCTATTAGGGAGGGAGAGGGGTGTAGTAGTTGATGACATTACACAAATCCTTTTTAGATAAATAAATTAACCAATCATATGCATTATAAAGAAAGGGGAGGTATCAGTTGATGACGTTACACAAGTCAATTAGCCAATCATATTCATCATAAAGAGGGGGATGCCAGTTGATGATGTTATACAAATCCTTTTTTAGATAAATCTAAATTTATCTATATCAATTCCTAGTACTCCTGATAATACTCAGCTTTTATTTAATGCATCAGTATAAAAACAATCAGTTGTTATTATTCAAAAGGCTAAAACAGAAGTGTATAAAATATACCAAGTTATAACAAATGGCAACGTTATCAGAACTTTGTTCACAGTTCTTTTTAAAGATCAAAAGGCTTGAAAGAACTATAACTATAGAGAAATAAAAGCTTAAGCAGTTAAGAGATAATATAGCAGCTCAACAATAAGTTCAGAAAAAAAAGAGAAATGCTAGAAAAAGAAAATATTATAGAAGTATATGATATATCAGGTCACTTATCATATCTAATGAATGATCCTAATCTTTTAGAAAAGATGCATAACAGTATTGAGTTTGGAGTCACAGATCATAAATAACATAAGGAGGTGATCAAAGTGTAAACAATTAAACACTTCTGTGAATAAATAGAAGAAAATTATAATATATATATGATAAAATCTACATTATAAAATTATATGCAACCTTAGCATTTTAGGACAAAGGAAGCAAAATAACGCCATCATCTTGTACAAATAAACTTAGTGGCTATTAGAAAAAATAAAATGAGTGACCATGTTGATGAATATTATTATTTGGTATCGGTCAAAGGTATAAAATATTTGCATCTGTTTTTTCACAAAATGTTGTTCTGATTTTACAAGACGATAAAGCTAAAGTATATATTTATTATTATTTTATTGATATTTTAATAGTTAGAACAAATGAATTTTTTTGAATAGTAAAGAAAAAAATTTTAGAAAGAGTTATAAAAAATAAATAAAAGCTTATAAAAAAATGATTGATTTTTTGTTATCAATTTCAAGTATAATTTTTAATTAAATAAATAATTGGTAATTATTAAAAGTTTAAATTGTTATTATTAGGTTCTATTAGGTATTGTGATAGTTAGAAAATATTTAAGATAATACAGAACCTGTATCTGTTCCTGATCATGATTTCTCAATAGATTCTAAGTATAAGTTGATCCCATTCATCTACTTGTTGATTGATCCTAACAATATAAATAATTCTTTACATTCCAGAAAAATGTAAATCTTTAATCATCCTAAATACTTTTTGAGCACTTCATCTGAAACGCATATGATTGATCTTATAACAATTGTAGAGGAGGAGGCTTATAATGAATTTACACATTATGAAAGTTCAGTAAAACCTATCTGGTGTCTATTGACAGATGGAAGACCTGATAAAAATCTTCAGTTTCTCACTAATATTTGGAAATATATGCTTATTTTTAAGAAATTTAATTTGAATTACCTTATAATATGAATACATGCATCAGGACAACCTAATAGAAAGAAGCATATCATAATTATCTGGCAAATTAGCAGGTATTGTATTAAATTCTTTTAATTATAAAAAGCATCTTAGTAATATAAATGAATAAATTTCTGTAGTTGATAAAGAACTCAGACGTAAAAATTTAAATATACTAGTGAATATCTTTGCAAACTATGGAATTGTGATCTTATCAATGAGCGATCAGTTGTTATTATATATATTAAAAGATATAACTATACTATATTTTTGAATATTAAAGAAAAAACATGAGATTGAATTGATCATTATTCGCAAATCTGTAATTATTCTCTTGATTTACAAAAATGTAAGGATTAAAATTGTTGTAAACTGCCACAAGCTTCTGATACTTTTGAACTTTTATCACTAAATAATAGATATCTTCCTTTTATTATATAAGGATAAGATAAGCATTTTCTTAATCTATTACACACATTGAAATATTTTAGTGATCGGCTTCCTAACTATAATAAACATTGCTTAAGTATTTCATCTGAACTATATCATGAACTCGTATGCCAAAAGTGTGGAAAAATATTTTCTAATAAAGGTATTATAAAGATATATAGTAAGACTATACATCTAAGTAAAAAAAAGTAATATGAGAAAATAATGGTCAATCTATGGTAAAAAATCGTGATATAATGACAAATTATGAAGAATCATATGTGAATCAATCTTCTGACCATAGAGATAAAATCTCAGCTATACAAACCCTAAACAATGAACAAGTAGTAGTAAATATAAAAAAGATAATATACAACCTTAGGATCAAGACCATCTTACATTTCAAATTAATTTGCATAATGTATAATAAAATTATATAATAATAAAATAACTATAAATTCATAAATTTTTCAAAGTTTAAAATTATTGTCACATAATAAATAAAGTTACACAATTCTTTAATTAAATATTATAACAGAAAGAGGAGAGAAGCTCTCAAAAATTAAATGATATCATTTCTAACCCTTCCATAACCTTAAACACTATTTTTCAGTTTTAGACATATATAATTTTCATATAAACAGTATATACATTAATATGTTCAATTCTAAACTTGCTATTCTTATATAAAAATATTGACTATATGACCATATAAAATTTGTTGCTGATCATATCAAGTACTGAACATGTCGCATGCAGATCATTTTCATATTAAAAAATTTTATGTAACTATAATTGAGTTACTTTACTCTATAGTTAACTATCAAAAAATATTACACTTATACTCATATTATTTAAGAAATTAATAGATTATCATGTGCTTAATCAATTCTAATCATTGATCTTCCTTTTGAACAATTACTTTTTTTGCATTTATGTGAAATCTCACTTTAAAATTAAGTTTTTTTAAAATCTTTTTACAAGTAAATACAAATATACAAACTTTAACAACAAAAATATATGTAATTTTATGGAAGAAGGAAGATTATCTTAGATTGTAGGGTGTGTTTTTCAGTTAGATGTTATGTAATACACAAAAAATTAATTTTTTAAATTATAAAATTTTATGGTAACAAGCTTTTAATAAATACTTTAAATTTAAATACAACTTAACAAAAATAACAACCTTATTAAAGTAAGTAATTTATCTTTTTCTTAAATGACTCTATTTTAACTAAATAGATAATATTAATAAAAAATACTAAATTATATGTAAAAGTTTAAAAACAGTTATAAATAGTAGTGGCAAATATATTTTTATTAATTTAAAGATAATATATTATAGAAAAGAATAAAGTGATTTCTTCCTACTTTGAATTATGAACTATATAGAGGAGAAGAAAAAAATAATTAGAAAGAGAATTCTAATATATAATCTCACAAAAATCAAAATATATTTTAAGATTTCTTTTAATAAATATAAGTTTTATTATTATATATTATTGCTAACATTAATATTTTTTTTATTATTATTATAATTTAATTAATTATTGTTTTTAAAAAGTGAATGTTTTAAAGAAGTAATTAAACCAAAAGCTTTTACTAAAATTTTTGTTAAATTTCAAAGAACTGCATATCTATTATTAATTGAATTTTTACTATATAATATTACATTATCATCAATAAATTCACTAAAAAGTAATTCTATTCTTTTTTTTTCTATTTGTGCAGATTTAATTTGATTTTTTAAATTTTCTTCATTAATAATATTACTTACAATATTTTGTTTTATAAATTTTACTCCAAAAGTTATAAGTGCTTTATCAAATGCAAAATAATGACCTTCTTTTGTTAAATTAATAGATCCAATATAATGTAATAATTCTTTAAATCATAGATATTTAGCAATTAAAGCCAAAAAATGAACTGTTGATTTAGTATAATTTAGTTTTTCTGCAACTGGAAATAGAGAAGCAAATGCTGTAAGATATTTAAGTTGCATATTTGTATTTCCTATTTTAATACCTTTTTAATGAGCTTTTCACCAACCATACCATTTATAAAATTATATCATAAATCATTATTTTCTTTTTCTATTTACAAAATATTTATTTATTTATCTGTAATATAAATTTGAATAGCACAAGCTATAGCTAACTATATTAAATCTAATACTTGACAAGTAGAATGCTAATTAACTATTAATTCTAATTTATCTAAAAATTTTACACCTAATGTAGCAGCAAAGTTATAAATTCCATAACTTCAAAAAATTGTCAAAAGTATACTACACATATCTTTTGA